GGTAGTGCACACCCAAAGAGTTGAGCAGCAGCAAGATTTATTGTGAAGAGAAGAGCGAAAGAACAAAGCTTCCACAGCCTAGAAGGTGACCCAAAGAGGTTGCCGCTGCTGGCTCCAGTGGTCTGCTTTCATTCCCTTATTTGGCCCCACCCTCATCCTTTTGATTGATCCATTTTACAGAGAGCTGACTGGTCCATTTTACAGAGAGCTGATTGGTGCATTTACAATCCTTTAGGTAGACACAAAAGTTCTCCAAGTCTCCACCCCATTAGCTAGACACAGAGTGCTGATTGGTGCATTTACAATCCTTTAGCTAGACACAGAGTGCTGATTGGTGCATTTACAATCCCTTAGCCAGACACAAAAGTTCTCCAAGTCCCCACTTGATTCAGAAGCTCAGCCGACTTCACCTCTCACAACCTCTGCCTCCTGGGTTCAAGCGATTCTCCTGCCTCAGCCTCCTGAGTAACTGGGATTACATGCGCCCACCACCATGCCCAGCTAACTTCTCTACTTTTAGTAGAAATGGGGATTCACTATGTTGACCAGGCTGGTCTTGAACTCCTGACCTCAGGTGATTCACCTGTCTCAGCCTCCCAAAGTACTGGGATTACAAGCGTGAGCCACGGCACCCAGCTAAGCATCCTCTTTCTAAGTCACTCACCCACGAGTATGAATTCTTTGCCCAGATTGCTTTGCTCCATTGTAGCTGATTTCAGCCCAGTTGTAAGCCTGGAGCACCTGGAGAAATCAGACCCAGGTGGGATGTCAAAGGTGGAGAGGGTGGGAAGGGAGCAAAAGAAAGAGAAGAGGTGCAGAAAGGGAGGGACACAGATTCCAAGGAAATGCCTGGCCGGCCTCAAGTTTGCCTCCTCCAGGAAGGGAAGGCAGCATTCTCACAGTGCTCTCTCCCTCCTCCCCCATGTACTGCGCACATCTCCTTCCCACACTCAGCCCAGTAGCCACCAAAAGCAAGCCGGAAGTGCCATAGCCTAGACAGACGTCCAACAACCCCACACAATGAACTTATGTGGGGAATTGTGTCCTGAGTCCCAAATGACCGACCCCCCAGTGTGCTGTGAATAAGCAGTGACCACAAGCAGTACCACCTATCACTGAGTCGGGGAGCTGCTCTCTAAGAACCCCAGCAGCGTGCCCCACTGGGACAAATCAGGCCACCTGGGGCTCCTTCCCATCTGTCTGTCCAATGCTGTGCTAAACGCACTTGTAAACAACTTTGTGGAAATGCTCAGCTTGTAAAGTGTTAATGTGGGCCTTTGTCAATGCTTAAGAAATAAGCCTGTGACTGGGCGACAGAGCAAAACTCAGTCAGAAAGAAAGAGCAAAAGAATGTCAGAAAGAAGAAAGGAAGAAGGAAAGGAAAGGAAAGGAAAGGAAAGGAAAGGAAAGGAAAGGAAAGGAAAGGAAAAGAAAGGAAAGGAAGAAAGAAAGAAAGAAAGAAAGAAGGGAAGGAAGGAAGGAAGGAAAGAGAAAGAAAAAGAAAGAAAGAAAGAAAAAGAAAGAAAGAAAGAAAAAGAAAGAAAGAAAGAAAAAGAAAGAAAGAAAGAAAGAAAGAAAGAAAGAAAGAAAGAAAGAAAGAAAGAAAGAAAGAAAGAAAAAGAAAGAAAGAAAGAAAGAGGTAGGGAGGAAGGGAGGTAGGAAGGAAGAAAGGAAGGAAGGAAGGAGGAAAGGAAGGAAGGAAGGGAGGGAGGGAAGGAGAAGGAAAAGAAAAGAAAAACTAAGCCTCCAGGCCATTGCTCCTCTCTCTCCCCCCGGTCCACCCCCATGGCAACCTCCCCCACCACCACCACAATGGCGCAAGGTTACAATGGAAAGTGCCTCCACTGGAACAGTCTCAGAACTTGGCTCGGGGCAGCGACAATCTTATCACGAGCTTTTCTGTTTGGGATCAGGGGAACGGGTGACTTTCCGAGAGGCCGATAAGGCAGGACCCAAGTTGTATATAAGGGGCAGCTCATGCAGCTGCTCTGCACCTTCCTCCCGTCTTGCTTCTCCCTGGAGTTGGGACCTGGGAAGAACCATGAAGTGGCTGCTGCTGCTGGGTCTGGTGGCGCTCTCTGAGTGCATCATCCACAAGTGAGTCCAGGTGGCATGGGTGTGAAGACGGTTGCCTCCCACATCACCCTTCTTTACTCCTGTGTCTTCCTTCTTCCCTTTTTTCACTCTCTCTCTTTGGCTGTCTCCATCCCCCTGTTCTGCCTCTCTCTCTGCCCTCTTGGGAGGCAGCTCTGCAGACGTGGTTAAAACTCGGGCCCAGCCCGAATCTGGTTCCCAGCTCCAGCCCTAGTTAACTTAACTTCTTTGCATTTGCACAGACGTGGGAGCTCCTCCCTTCCTTCCATCTTCCTCTCTTAGACCAGCTAGTTAAGAGTCCAGCCTGGGTTTGGTTCCAGCTCCACCACTAGGCAGCTTAACTTCTTTCCATTATTGCACAGAAGTGGGAGCGTCTCCTTTCCTTCCTTCTTCCTCTCTTAGACCAGCTTCCCTTCCCTTCTGGGGCTGCCACAGCACCCGGTGAGCAGAATCCTTGCCTAATTCCTCTTCCTCCTCCAAACCACAGGGTCCCCCTCGTCAGAAAGAAGTCCTTGAGGCGCAACCTGTCCGAGCATGGCCTGCTGAAGGACTTCCTGAAGAAGCACAACCGCAACCCAGCCAGGAAGTACTTCCCCCAGGCAGAGGCGCCCACCCTGATAGACGAACAGCCCCTGGAGAACTACCTGGATGTGAGTGTGTGGGCAAGCGGCGGGGCCGGCTCTGAGGACTTGGCTGGCAGGAAAGAGAGTTTCCCTGGGGTCTTGGAGGACGGGCCGGGGCTCTGAGGCTCCAGGCAGTGACCCAGGGTCTGCCCCTAGGTGTCAGTGGCCCCGGGCAGGCAGGAAAGTTCACAGAGCTGTTGCTTCTTGTTCATTCATTCATTCCTTCACTCATTCATGCAATGTTCATTTCTTCTGAGCGCCTCATTATATGTCAGGGCCTCTGTGGGGCTCAGGAGGAAACAGCAGTGAGCAAAGTCATAGCCGAGGAGAGAAAGACAGTAATCAAGGAGTCTTGCAAACCAATGAAAAGAACAGGCAGCAGGAGGACCACAGAGTGAAGGTGTCACACTGCCAGAGTCGGCCACTTGGGCAGGGAGCCTCCCGGGAGCCATGCAGCAAGAGCGGGAATTTCCAAGAGAAGAAGACAGAACTCCGCACAGCCTGATCACTTGTGCCGAACCCTGTGCAGGCGGGAGCACAGGGCATTTGAAGGAGAGCCGAGAGGGAGGGAAGAAGGGTGCTGCAGACTGCGGCCCGAGGAGCCGAGGGGTGGACGGAGAGAGGCTCCATCCTAACTGCCACTGATTTATCTCAAACAGGGGGTGACAAAATCAGATCCGAGTTTCAGAAAGATCACTCTGACTTTATGATTTGAGACCCGACAGCAAACACCCTGCCTTCCCACAGATATCGTATGTCCCCTCTGTGCCTGGCACGGGGCACAGGGCACAGAGCAGTGATGCCTGTGGTTCAGAGATTGGCCTCTGCCATCCAGCAGACCTGGTGCAAATGTGGGTTCCAGCGCCTCTAAGTCACGGGACATTGGCCAAGACATTTAAATCCTCTGAGACTGTTTCTTGGTCTGGAAAACAGAAACACTAATATCTACCAACAGAGGTTGTTGCCAGGAATTCACGCAATCATGTTTCTGGAGTGCTTAGCATGGGGTCTGGCAGGCCCTTGGTAAGAGGCTTAGTTAGCGCATTTATTTAGTTAACAAATATTTAGCAAATATTGGCACCTCTCTATGGGCCAGAGGCTATGCAAGTTGCCAAAATGATGGTGAATAAGCAAAGTTCCTGGAGCTTGTATTCTACAGGGGATGACAGATAAACAAGCGTGGAAGATAATTTCAGGTAATGATGAGGGCCAAGACAAATTAATTAATTGGAGTACGAGGAAAAAGAAGATCGAGAGGGGGCATATTTAGATAAAGTGGTCACAGAAGGCCTGTTGGCAGAAGGGACATTTGACTAGAGACCTGAATGATTGATTTTTGAAAAAAGGATCAACCAAAGAAAGATCTAGAATAAACATTTTCCTAGCACAAGGAATACCCAGTGCAAAGGCCCTAGGGCAGGAGGGACTGCTCATCACCAAGGAGCAGCAAGCAGACCAGTGTGGCAAGAACAGAGCCGGCAAGGGGGAAAATGCTGCCACTCAGAGGAAAAATACTGGTTGGTTGGCTGAGGTGGGTGGATCACTTGAGGTCAAGAGTTTGAGACCAGCCTGGAAACATGGTGCAACCCCGTCATTACTACAAATACAAAAATTAGCCGGGCGTGATGGCACACACCTGTCATCCCAGCTACTTGGGAGGCTGAGGCAGGAGAATCACTGGAACCCAGGAGGCGGAGGCTGCAGCGAGACGAGATCGTACCACTGCACTCTAGCCTGGACAACAGAGCGAGACTTGCCTCAAAAAAAAAAAAAAAGAAGAAAAATACTGGCAATGCCCTTTCTTGCAACCTGCTGTACACATCTAGAGGTAGAAATAAGAAAACCGGCCAGGTTTCCATCTTTAGGTGGCTTGCTTAGCTTCTGATGAACAATTTAAGGCACAAGCACTTAAGCTGTCACTTGCCCGGTGCTAGAAGGTTCCACCCCCATCCTCTGAGAACATGTGCTGTAAGGATGGGAAGACTGACAAACAAGACAACAGCTGAAGAGGGAGCAGCAGATTGTTAGGTGCTTGTGGTGCTTAGGAGAGAGCAGAGGGTAAACTGGGGGAGCAATCAGGGAAGACTTCAAGGAGGAAGGGACGCCAGGGCTGGGCTTTGAAGGATGAAGACAGTGGCTGGGAAGAGAAAGACAAGAACTGTGAGGAGGGAAGGAAAAGGTAGAGAGGTGGACCGAGGAGATGACCCAGAGACAGTCCCTAGGGAGGCCCCAACAGAGAGACCCCGGTCCATGAACTGCCCTGTCCCCGCCCCGGCAGGCGGAGTACTTCGGCACTATCGGCATTGGAACCCCTGCCCAGAATTTCACCGTCGTCTTTGACACCGGATCCTCCAACCTGTGGGTGCCCTCAGTCTACTGCTCCAGTCTCGCCTGCAGTAAGTTCCCAGCCCGCCCCACCCCACTCTTGCTCCCCAGCCCCAGCTGACCCTGGGGAACCCTGGACACCCGTGGGCTTCAGAGAGCTCCCACCTCAAGCCTGCTGGAGCCACTCGACAGGCATTTACTGAGCACCGACTACGTGCCAAATACTGGGCGCAGGTGCTCCATGGGGTAAAGGGATGAGCGATATAATCCTTGCGGTCAAAGACTTTCCAGTCGGAGGGCAGAGAGAAGCTCCCCAAAATAACTACAGCCTGGGAGAGGAAATGTAGGGGCCCAAAGCAACACAAGGCCAAAGGGCTGTAGAATAGCCCGCCAGGAAAGAGTCCAGTGTGAGGAAATGGCTCCAAAGCCTGGCTAGGACAGGCTAGAGGTGAGTGCTGAGCTCCTTTTTTTTTTTTTTTTAAATAAAAATTTAAAAAAAAATGATTGGTTTGCTAATGAAAGACAGTTTGTCTTTGAAAGTCATGAACAATGTGTGTTGCGGGTTCCTTCCTCTTCTAGTGTTTTCGCCTGAGTTTTAATTAAGATGAGGTGCCACTGGCTTCTTCCACATCATAACGGGAGCACCGGCCAGGGGCTGGAGGGTGAAAGCGCTTGTCACTCGACAGCCACGGGCCTACTCGGCTCAATGTCAGCCTGGGGGGGGGGACTCCAGGAAGCCCAGAGGATGGTCCCTGAGTTCAATGAGACAGGACAGAATTTGGGGTCTTTCGGGGTCGAAGGGTCTAGGGGGAAAGGTCACTGCTCACGTCCAGAGCCCTTCCTGGGGCCAGGGCACCCCATCCCAGGAAGACATCCCAGCCCATGACCTTCACCCAGCTCTCAGAGACTAACAATCACCGCTTGCCCTTGCAGTGGACCACAACCTCTTCAACCCTCAGGATTCCTCCACATACCGGGCCACCAGCAAGACACTCTCCATCACCTACGGCACCGGCAGCATGACAGGCATCCTCGGATATGACACTGTCAAGGTGGGCGCCTGCAGGCTGCTGCTGCATCCCGCCATCAGGCACCCCCAGAATAAGCTTATTCCAGCACGATGAGTCTCGGTGATCACAAAAGTAACCTGATTGGGGGTGCGGGCTGGGGGAGAAGCAGCAGAGATGTCACAGACGTTGCTAGCTCGGGTGGCAGTGAGTAAAAGGGTGGGCTGCCGGGAGCCATAAGCCAGCCTCAGCTCCACCCAAGCAGAATGTTATGGAGGGTGGGGAGAGTCCGTAAAGGCTCAATTCTCTACTAGCACCTCCTCTTCTTCCTCCTTCTCCCGACCTGCAGCCCCCCCCACGTCCTCAAATCTCCACAAGCCCTCTCTGCTACTTTTGGGGCATGGCAGGGGTCAAAGGTCCTGATTCGCCCAGGGTCTGCTTTGCATTTGTTCATCCGTAACACAAACACACAGTGAATCTGTTCTCCAGCAAAATCTCACACTGAGTCATAGACCGTGGCCATCTGCAGATCAGCTGCCATGGTTACCTCCAGCAGAGAAACAAGCATTCCAGGAGACGGTCCCTCTCCCCTCCTTCCAGGCTGATGCCCTGGAAGCCAAGGCCTGCATGGGATGAACCAGGGCAGCTGTGGGCCTGAGGCTGGCACCCAGAGCTCAGTGAACATGACCTGAGTGTGAACATCATCTCGGTTCCCCCACCCAGGTTGGAGGCATCTCGGACACCAATCAGATCTTCGGCTTGAGCGAGACCGAACCCGGCTCCTTCCTGTATTATGCTCCCTTCGACGGCATCCTGGGGCTGGCGTACCCCAGCATTTCCTCCTCCGGGGCCACACCCGTATTTGACAACATCTGGAACCAGGGCCTGGTTTCTCAGGACCTCTTCTCTGTCTACCTGAGCGCGTAAGTTGGGTGGAGAGGGGCCTCCTCCCACCTCCCCCTCCAGAGGTCACAGTGTTCTGGCCCAGCAGCAGCTGTTCAAGGCTGGCTGCGATGGAGAGGGTCTTGGGAAGCAAGGGATTTGGAAAGTCAATGTCTGAGGCTAGAGAAATGTGTCTTTGGAGAGTGATAGTGCCAAGTCTCTCTCTGACGGGCCATGTGCACTCCATCTCATTTACCAGCGTCTTTGTCCCCTTGATGTGCACAACTCAAATGTCATCAGCCATTTGCCCCTCAGTGCCAGTTCCCTCATCCTTGGCCCCCAAAGATGCCATTGAAAATGAATACACTTGGCCAGACACGGTGGTTCATGCTTGTAATCCCAGCACTTTGGGAGTCTGAGACAGGAGGATCACCTGAAATCAGGAGTTCAAGACCAGCCTGGCCAACATGGCAAAACCCTGTCTCTACTAAAAAATACAAAAATTAGCCAGTTGTGGTGGCAGGCACCAGTACACCCAGCTACTCGGGAGGCTGAGGCAGGGAGAATCGCTTGAGCCTTGGAGGCGGAGGTTGCAGTGAGCCAAGATTGTGCCACTGCATTCCAGCCTGGGCAACAGAGCGAGACTCTATTTCAGAAAATAAATAAATAAATAAATAAATAAAGTGAATACACTTAAAACAGATCAAAATTCCATAACACAAAAATGAAAAGATTTGAACAAGATATATCATGGATGATGACATTTTTAAATCATGAAAGCAAGTTTCTTTTGTGATTTAATAAAACCTAGGTTCCATTTGTGACCGTGGGCTAATTCTAGGAATGAACAAAGAAATACATGAACAAACAAACAAATGAACAAAGAATAAATCAAATGTCAATTTGGGCTGAGTAGAGTGTTACGCAAGAATATCTGAGGGCATCATCCACTTTCTTAAGACACTCAACGTTCCTCTAACACTCACGAACGTCCTCCTCTTTTGAAAGGGTTTGCCGTCATTCACGTGTTTCCTTGGTTGGTAACTACACGTCTAGGTCCTCGCTATATAGCATTGCACTGTGAGACCTTCACAGAAAAGGTGGGTGGGTTCAGTGAGGGGGTCATATTTTATACATGGCCAGTTCTCCGATGACTCATTTCTTATTGCCATCTACATTTGCTTCTGCATCTACCCTGAAACTGCAGAGGTTTAGAAAATGAATATTGAAATAACAAGGACTCCTGCAATTTACAACAGGAAGGCTCTTTGTCATGTATTCCTCTTGGCCAGTTGATGTTCAACGTGGCTCTGAAACATAATCTGCCTATATGAGCACTTAAATATTTCACGTGGGGCCGTTGTATCTCCCCAGCTAGATCTGAGTCTCTCAATCTGGGAATCATTAACATTTCAGACCAGCATAAGTCCTTGCCAGGGACTGTCCCATGCATTGTAGGACGTTTGGCAGCATCCCCAGCCTCTAAGCATTAGATGCCAGTAGCATCCACTACCCCCACCCAATCAATCCAAAATGTCTCCAGACACTCCCCTGGGGGCAAAACTGCTCCCAGCTAAGAACAAGTGATCTCTACCATCAAGTCCTTAAGAGCCGACACTGTCACCCATTCACATCCCTGGGGTCGCCATGGCAACTAGAGTGAGTACCACGGTGAAAACCACACACTCAACCTAAAAGACCCGTGTTCTTCCAAACGTAGTTCCACCACTTGCCTTCTGTGTGACCTTGGGCAGGTGGCCTCACCTCCCTCAGGCTCAGTGTCCTCATGGTAAGTGGAAATAACAGTGACAGTGTCCACTGCGTGGGCCCTGGCCTAAGAGGACAAGAAACCACATTGGTCACACCCCAGGACAGCCTGCCAAGTGCCCAATCAACGGTGGCTCTGAGGAGCCAACAGCAGATGTTCACACATGAACGAACAGAGAAATTCATGTCTTCTTCCCTCACTTTCCACAGCGATGACCAGAGTGGCAGCGTGGTGATATTTGGTGGCATTGACTCTTCTTACTACACTGGAAGTCTGAACTGGGTGCCTGTTTCTGTCGAGGGTTACTGGCAGATCTCCGTGGACAGGTGAGACTGCCGTGGATGGACAGCATCCAGGCCTGGGCCCCAGATTCCATTTCCTTATGGACTCATAGCTACCAGCTTTCCAGAATTCCCCCAGGAACAGCTGACACAGGGGAACACTCCAGGGGGAAGGCGGAAGTTGGCCCAGCCAGAGAGACCCTAGAAAGACACCTCCCGGGCGGAGGAGGGAAGAGCTGTCTGGGAACCGAGACTCTGCAAGCGTCAGATAGCCACTGTCCTAATAGTCACGGAGGCAGGACAATCCACCAGCATCCCTGGGGAAAGCTGGGCGACCACCTGCCTGGGAACCAGCACACGCTCCTCCCACTCAAGGAAACGTGTCACTTTCAGTCTAGAAGTAGGGCAAAATGGCTGAGAAGTTGTGTGAAGTCACTTTGTTCCACGCACCCCTTCAGGGCCTCTCTGGTCTCCCTTGCGGCTTCATTTCCACGCTGTTCTTCCCCAGCTAGCCTGCCACGGTGCTCAATTGTGCGGCTTTTCCCCAGAGTGAACATTTTCCCAGGACAAAGACTTCAGTACTAAAGCTGGGACCATCCCAGGCAAACCAGGACACATTGATCACCTCATGTCTGCCCAGCCATGCTAGCATTTCACCAGTTCCTCCAACTCCTGCCCCAGCCCTTGGTCTCTGTCCCTCCCCGCATACCGTCCCCTGTTGATGTCCTCCTTCTCTCTTCACCTGCCTGGCATCCCTGGGTGTCTGCTCCCCTGGCTGCTTCCCTCCACCGCCTCTCACCCTGGACCCTGTTTTGTTCCCTGCCGCATGCCTGGCTTATCATCCTGCCCTTCTGCCACCATAACTTATCTTGACAGCCAGGCCGGGAGCTCCCTGCAGCCTGGAACTGTGAGGCTGTCTGCTTTACCTTTGCGTTTCCCATGCCTGGCTGAGAGTAGGCACTTGCAAAATATTTGTTGGGTAAATGAATGCAGGATGAATGAACGTGTGAATGAGAGTAACAGAAATTTCACGCATTGGCCAATGAACGGGTGTGGAAGAAATGTCTGGGGTCACCTCCTGGTTCCCCCTTGGAGAGATGTACCCCTGAGGGCTCAGGGACCTTCACTTGCTTCTTGCCCTCAGCATCACCATGAACGGAGAGGCCATCGCCTGCGCTGAGGGCTGCCAGGCCATTGTTGACACCGGCACCTCTCTGCTGACCGGCCCAACCAGCCCCATTGCCAACATCCAGAGCGACATCGGAGCCAGCGAGAACTCAGACGGCGAGGTGAGTCCAGCCCCGACGGCTCTGTTCTACACTCGAATAGTGGGTGTGCCAGGCACACAGGACCAAAACCCTTCCAACTTTTCTCACCCCACTCTTTCCAGATGGTAGTCAGCTGCTCAGCCATCAGCAGCCTGCCCGACATCGTCTTCACCATCAACGGAGTCCAGTACCCTTTGCCACCCAGTGCCTACATCCTGCAGGTGAGGGGGCTCTGGACCATCCACTAGAGGGGCTCACACAGAATGTGGCCACAGAGTCCCCCTCTGCAGAGGGAAGGTGCGCTTCCACGAGCTGAAGCCGAGAGGCAGAGGCAGACGAACATCTGCCCCAGACAGCTCCGGAGAGAAGGAACAGATTAAAAACAAACGCAGGAATAAGAACTCAGACACAGCTCCCCAAGGGAATAAGTGAAGCAAAGGTTAATGGAGTGAAAAGAGGATTCTATTTGGACCCCTGAGTCCTAGTCCTGGGTCTGAATTACCAGCCCGTTGATGCTGAGTAAATGACAACTCATCTCAGCCTCAGTTTTCTCATCCAAAATTCAGACATGGCAGCTTTCCCCACGCTCAGAGTGCGGTTAGGTTAACCAAGTGAGACTGATCACATCAGAGCTACCAAGGGTTGGACAAATGGAAATCCTCATTTCCATAGGCTGGGGCTTCCGACACTCCTACCGTCTCTACCAAGTAGCAAATCTTTAGCTATATGAGCCACAGGAAAACTCTCCCTTCTATTATTATAACGTCAGGTGGAAAACTGATTTTGCCAGTGGACTGATGTTACTCAACAAGAAGCACTGACGCCTGGGCTCCCCCAGTGATTCTGATTACATTAGGAGAGGGCAAGGCCTGAGCAATGGGATGGGGCTACGGGGGTTCAAAGCTCCCCAGGTGACGTGCAGACAAGGTCACAGACCAGTGATTTAGTAAGGCAAGAGGGCTAACAGCTCATTCGGTTTGCCACTGGTCGGGATCAGAATAATCATGAGAAAAGGCTACATCAACAGGGTTTTCACACTCCTTCCTACCAGCTGAATTCTCCCCAAGCCCCTTAGCTCTGATGCTGATGTCAGGGTTCCTGTGCCTGCCAGAAACGCCAGATAATGTCCAGTAATGTGTAGAAACCAATAGTGCTGTGGACAGCTTCTACAGGCCAACTCCAGGCCAAGAACAGCCGAGCCCCTGGACACTGAGCCAGGAAGCTCCTCCTTGCACGTGCCTTGCAGCTGGACCAGGGCGCCCTGGATGTTTATCACCCAGCGCCTGTCACTGCTGAATCGGTGTCTCAACTCCACTTTTATTCTCCTTTTCTCCAGAGCCAGGGCAGCTGCATCAGCGGCTTCGAGGGCATGGACGTCCCCACCGAATCTGGAGAGCTTTGGATCCTGGGTGATGTCTTCATCCGCCAGTACTTTACTGTCTTCGACAGGGCAAACAACCAGGTCGGCCTGGCTCCCGTGGCTTAAGCCCAAGTCTTTCCAGCCACCTCCCAGGAAGATCCGACCTCCGTCCTGTGCCCACTTTAGATGCATCTAATTCTCCTGACTGTCCTTCCCACGGGAGTGCGGAGGTCTTGGCCCTGTTCCCTGTCTTACCGATAATGTAGAATAAAAACATAACCTACTGAAACAGGTTTTGTGGAGCTGCTTCTCTTTGCTGGTCTTTTTCCTTCACATCACTGGGGTTAGAACGCCAGGGTAGGGACCAAAATGACCACATCCACTTGGATGGCACCCAACAGAGTGACCCCAGCAGCGGACACTTCATGGTAGAGCCAGGAAGACAGAGGCCTGCAGGGGGCTGTGCTGGAAGCATCATAAAAAGACCTGGGGGCCAAAAATGCTGGGCTCATTGTTTTCTCATAGAAGGGACAGTGAGAACTGAGATCGTGCCATTGTACTCCAGCCTGCGTGACACAGAGAGACTCCATCTCAAAGAAAAAAAAAAAAGAAAGAGAGAGAGAAGAAAAAAGAAAAAATAGCACTGAAGCTCTTAGTTGAGGGAGTCAACTTCTTACTTCTCCCAAAACCAATAAGAGATCATGACAAGGCTGGGCGCAGTGGCTCACACCTGTTATCCCAGCACTTTGGGAGGCTGAGACAGACAGGTCACGAGTTTGAGACCAGCCTGGCCAACATGGTGAAACCCCGTCTCTGTTCAAAATGCAAAAATTAGCTGGGCGTGGTGGTGCGTGCCTGTAATCCCAGCTACTCGGGAGGCTGAGGCAGAAGGATCGCTTGAACCAGGAAGGTGGAGGTTGCAGTGAGCGGAGATCGCACCATTGCACTCTAGCCTGGGCGACAGAGTGAGACTGCAGCTCAAAAAAAAAGAGACAAAGATCATGAGGAAAAGAAAGCAATCAGGAGAGACAGGAGAGGTGGACACTAATGGCGATGTCCCTAAGTAGACAGGACAGGGCAGTGTTGTCTGCAAGACATGGACAGGAGCAGTGGAAGAAGCTGACACCACAATCTTCCAGGACGCCCCTGTGATTCGCTGGTGACCAAGACTCACTGTCAATCTCCCGCAAGGTCCCAGGCACAAGACCCTGAACACATCTGTTTCCCCGTCTGTAAACAAACAAAATGGTGTTCCACTTCCCTGAGCAGAGGTTGTGAGACAGAGAATTAAGCATGCTTATTAGCATATATTCCCTAGAAAGGCAAAGAGGAAATGGAGCAGTTTCTCAGGCTGGGCTTGGTAGCAAAACGTACAATGGAAAACATAGTTTCAAAATAAGTACAGAACACGCTACATTCTAGGCCCTTCCCCAGGGTTCACCAGCTACAGTTCCCAATCAAAGACTCTGATAAGTCCTGCTGCAAAGTGATCTGTTTCATTTTATCTCAGTTGAGCTTGATCTCAGACTCTCTCTTGCTAGGAAGTCTATTACAGCCCGGGGCCTCTCAGCATGCACGCTGGGAAAATTTCCATAGCTCCTGCTTCTGGTGACAGCCAACCCAGGCTGTCTGCTGAAGGCAGGGCCAGAGGCTGGAGCTGAGCTCTAGGAGGGCCAGGGATGATCTCCAACGCCCAGTCTCCCCGGGGTCACTCTCACCCTCCCAAGCCCATTTTCCACAGCTGAATAAACTTTATGAGACATACATTTCATCTCATCCCTTCCTTGCTTAAAACTCTTAATGCCTTCTTGCCATTGCCTTTGGAACAAAACAGCAAATCTTTGGCATAGTTCCAGGTCCTGTGTGCTCCTTTCCCTCAAAACGTTCCCTGCCTCACTCTGATCCCACTGCCCTGAGCTCCCTCCACCCCGGCTCCCATGGCCAAAATAGCCCAAGTGCTTTCTCACCTCCAGACTTTGCATATGCTGTTTCCTTTGCCTGGGTTGCCTTTCCCTCTTTCTTGCCTTGCTAACACCTAGCATCTGCAGACGTGGCTTAAATGTCACTTCCCAACCAGGTACGGTGGCTCACACATATAATCCCAGCACTTTGGGAGGCCGAGGTGGGCAGATGAACTGAGGTCAGGAATTCGAGACCAGCCTGGCCACCATGGTGAAACCCCGTCTCGACTAAAAAAAATACAAAAAATTAGCTGGGCATGGTGGCCGGCACCTGTAATCCCAGCTACTCGGGAGGCTGAGGCAGGAGAATCGCTTGAACCCAGGAGGCAGAGGTTGCAGTGAGCTGAGATCACGCCATTGTATTCCAGCCTGGGCAACAAGAGTAAAACTCCACCTCAAAAACAAAAACTCACTTCCCTGTAAAAGTGATTAGCCCTCCCTGACCACTCTCCCATAGAGCCTGGGCCCACCTTATCCCTCATGATACTTGGCACGACTTGTAACCGTGCATTTAAGTGTTTAAGATTCACAAGGGCAGGGATGGTGGTCGTTTTGTTTAGGGTTGAAGCCGAGCAGCAAGAGCAGGGCTTGGCACATAGTAGGTGGTCCCTCAATTGTTGCTGAATGAGTGATTAGTGATGACGTTTTAAAAGGAAACAGCTCAGGTAGGATGAGAGTATGAGATGTGGACAGGGTTTGAGGAAGGCCACGTGAATGACAACAGGGGGGTCAGCTCCCACCCCCACCAAAATTCCATCCATTTTGTCATGGGATAAGCAGGTGGATTTCTCAAGTTTCTGGGAAGGAATTTCACCCTGTCCTGGCTCCTTTGCTGGATTTGTTTTTCTGACATTTCCCACGTAGCTACTTTGAAGCTAGGCAGTGTGCTAGGCTCCAGGGATACAGGCAGGCCTTCCTGGATGCTATCCGTTCTCCTGCGCCTGGCCCCATCCTTCCTTCCTCCCCCATCTCAACCCCAGCAGCTGCAGCTCAGCCTCTCTCTCCCAGCACCTCTTCCATTCGCACCCTGGGATTCCTCAACCCAGCCAGCATCTAAAGAGCTTCCTCATCAGACAGATCATTTGACCAGAAAGCCCTGCGCCAACATATCCGAAGGGATCCTCCCTATGTTGCTGCACAAGAGACGATGAATTCACAAGCCTTTGCTGCAGTCTCAGGACTCTGCTTCATGCATCTTCCTCTAAGGGCCTTGGGGGTCTAAGCACAGCTCCTTCTGTCCTTTTCATTCACACTCGTCCAGGAGTGTTATTTTAATCTCACAGGTCTCCTTCCCCATCCATCCTCACCTGTCCCAAGTGATCACTCCACACATTGCTGGTGGGAGTGTAAATTGGCACCACCCTAAGGAGCGTGATGTGGCTGTTTCTATCAAAACTAAAAATACATATATGCTGGCCGGGCTCACTGGCTCATGCCTGTAATCCCGGCACTTTGGGAGGCTGAGGCAGGTGAATCACCTGAGATGAGGAGTTTGAGACCAGCCAGGCCAACATGGTGAAACCTCATCTGTCCTAAAAATACAAAATTAGTCGGGCGTGGTGACACATGTCTGTCATTCCCAGCTACTCGGGAGGCTGAGGCAGGAGAATCTCCTGAACCCGGGAGGCGGAGGTTGCAGTGAGCCGAGATGGAGCCATTGCACTTCAGCCTGGGCAACAGAGCGAGATTCTGTCTCCAAGAAAAGCAAAAGAATGATCAATGTTCAAGACGATAAATATGCTAATGACACTGATCTGATCACTAAACATTATATGTACGGAAACACCCCTATGTACCCATAAATATGGACAATTATTACATTTGAATTAAAAAGAAAAGAGCCAGGCACAGTAGCTCACGGTGTAACCCCAGCACTTGGGAAGGCCAAGGTGGGAGGACGGCTTGAGCCCAAGAGTTCAAGACCAGCCTGAGCAACACAGCA